GCTTTTCTCGGAAAACGTTCGTCAAATCGTGATATATCGCCTCGTTAAACGACTCCTGTAATTCCTTCCCTGCACCCTGCGTCGCCTGGGCGAGAAAATTAATGGGCCCGTCTTGTGACGTCTTGTTTAAAATGACGGACGAGCTCGCGTCCAATTTTCCGCCACTGTTTCGCACTGTAATCGGACGCATTTTAACTCCGTGATAAAGAGCCGGGGAATCTCTAAATTATACCCGCGATATTTCTTCCTTCTTAACTCCCCTTCTCTCCTTTCTTTTCTTCTCGTTCTTTCGCAACTTTCTCGCTCCGACTCTTAATTAATCGCACGTGTCGCGTTATTTTTATAATCGATATCGAGAAAGTTTTTTTTTTTCTTTTTTTTTATTTGATTATACAATTGAACGAAACAATTGATCATTAGAAGTTAAGTTATTTTTCATTGTTTATGTTCAATTAAATTCGTAAAATTGATAAATGTGAGGATATTTATCGAAGAAATATTTATTTTTAGTGACAGAAGCTATTTATTTAGAATTTTTTTTTTATTCAATTATACGATTGAAGGAAACAATTGATCATTAGAAATTAATTATTTTTCATTGTTTATGTCCAATTAAATTTATAAAATTGATAAATGTAAGGATATTTATCGAAGAAATATTTACAGTGACAGAAGCTATAATTTATTAAGAATTTTTTTTTTATTCGATTATACAATTAAAGGAAACAATTGATCATTAGAAATTAATTATTTTTCATTGTTTATGTTCAGTTAAATTTGTAAAATTGATAAATGTGAGAATATTTATCGAAGAAATATTTATTTTTAGTGACAGAAGCTATTTATTTAGAATTTTTTTTTTATTCAATTATACGATTGAAAGAAACAATTGATCATTAGAAGTTAAGTTATTTTTCATTATTTATGTTCAATTAAATTCGTAAAATTGATAAATGTAAGAATATTTATCGAAGAAATATTTACGGTGACAGAAGCTATAATTTATTAAGAATTTTTTTTTATTCGATTATACGATTGAACGATCATTAAAAGTTATTTCGTCAAGCTAAATTTGTAAAATTAGATAAAATTGTGAAGCGAGAATATTTATTACGGAAGAAATATTAACAGTGACAAAAAGTTACAATTATAATCGATATTGAGATTTTTTCTTCTATTTCTCTTTTTTTATTTAACTATACATTAATTGGACAATCATTAAAAATTAAGCTACTTAAATTAAACTCCATTGTTTCATTGTTTCGTCGAGTTAAATTTGTAAAATTGAATAAATCTAAAGCGAGAATTTATTACAGGATATTTATCAGAGAAATATTGGCAATAACATTTATAATCGATATTGAGAATTTTCTTTTTTTATTCAATTATACAATCGAACGCAACAATTGATCATTAAAAGTTGGATTATTTCATTTCGTTGAATTTGTAAAATTGATTAAAGCAACAATATTTATTACAGGATATTTATCGACAGAAAAATTGACGTGCCAACGGAAGAAGATACATTTTTACTCCCTCGTTCGTAATGGTTCGTGATTTCCCAATAATGCGAGTCCGATTAGACACGGTACATTGGCCGCTTCGTTCATCTACGCTTCATCGGCGGTAAATAAAGTCTGGACTCGAATCTTGCATTTCTTGGAAAAAGGAGGGGCGACCTGAACGCGCGCAAAAGCACGAAAACCACGTACAATAATTAAACGTTTGAATAAACGCTCGAATAATAAAATTACTTTTATTATTCACAAAGAAAAAGTATTTGTTTTTAAGTTCGATAAAAATTATGACGCAACGTAACGTGCTTCGTTATTAAATTCGGATTAAGGTTAAAAAAAAAAAAAAAGGGACGATAAAGAGGAAAGGCGGAAGCGAAGGGTTTTAATGAATTTCAATGAGCTTTCGCGACCCTCCTCCTTCATTTGCACCAGGGGCTTAGCCAAACATTAGATGTTAAACGGGGGAATTTGAAATTGCTTCAATCCCTTGTGTACCCAGCACGATCGTGTCGAGACAGGGTGCATTTCAGAGTAGTCATTCTTTATTCCATACACGTCGAAAGAGCAACACAACGTCATTCACGGCACCATCTTGCTCGTCTTTTTTTTACCCTCCGCTGTGAGGGGGTTCCATTCATCGCTCACGTTTCTTTGGCCTTCGAATTTTTCTTTTCAACCTGAATCGTGAAAATCGAAAAACAACTTACACACACGCACCTTTCGATTCGTAAAATTTTACGTAATACAGAGAGAGAAGTGTAAGAGTGATTGTAGACTCTTCTCCTCAAATTTTTTTTAAAATTATTGTGAAAATTAAAAAAGTTGTACGTACTTTCGATTAGAAAATTTAGACGCAAGAACTGTCTTCTCTAATTGATCTGTAGTAACAATTATTCAATCTTAAAAAATTATAACACCATTTCTGTTGTAATTTTTTCACGTTATTTATTTTCTAGAGGATAAAATAAAATGTGTTATATCGTACCGTTTCAAGTCGCCTTTCTTTTCTCATAACCTGCAATTCGAACTTTTGTGAGATGGAATTTTTATTTTAAGTAAAATAAAATAATATACTTTCGATAATTAATTTCTATCGTGAACGATAGAACGATAGTATACGTGAGATATTGCGTTTTAAATTTTTCACTTTATAATCAAACAAGTAGAACAAGTAGAACAATTTTCGTATGAAAAAAAAAGTTATTTCTCTATTCACATATTTATACGTAAGATTTTATATATAAAATCTTCTTCGTGCTAATTAGATACACGGAGGTCATTTGTAATTTTCTTACCTCGTGATCGTCATATTATTATATCACATGCATTCTGTTCGAATATTTATTCCTTTCTTGGAGAGCAATTCCGCAGGAAAATACCGAACGAATTAATAATGAAGAAACGAATAATGATCATTCTTTTTATTCTCTCGACGATGTTTGCGTCCAAGTATCCTGTATCGTGTACAAAGATTTTCTCTCGGATTGCGTTCGATTCCCAAGAAAATGGTGAAGATTCGAAAAATTGGATTCGAACGAGGTTAACAAGATGGATCGACTGATTTCTAAATCTATTTCTATTGGTTGTTCGGAAATTAATTTCGTTTTTTCACACGAGTGTCGCTAGTCGAACGTTTATCCAGCCAACTTCATTCTAGACTAGAAATTATTGGATTGTTCGGAAAATAATTTCGTTTTTTCACACGAGTGTCGCTAGTCACTCAAGGTTTATCCAATCAACTTCATTCCAAACTGTGTTATTGTATGTTTCGAGAGCATTGGCATTTCATAATTTATTTATAAGAAAAATTTGTTTGATTTTGTGCGCGGTTCTTTTTTTCGCATGCGATAACAAAGATGAGCAGGGCCAAAAAGAGCATATTTTCGGCATATTTTACTTTTTTATTACCGAAAAGGCAAGAATACTGGTTCAAACAAGAAAAAATTTATGCGATGTCTATTAAAAAAAAGATATTAATAATATCAAAAATGGTTTTCAAAATTTCGTTTCGACAATTTCAGCATTAAATGCGTCATGTTCTGGAAGACCAATTGAAGCTGATACAAATAAACTAAAAGCACTGATTGAAGTAAATCGACGAATAACAACTCGAGAAATTGCTACGAGATTGAATTTGACTGTTCATGATTACATGAAACGACTCAGTGTTTCATTCTCATGAAGAAAAACAAAATTACTTTCCGAACCCAATATTCGGGATAAACGAGAGTGAAAATGTGTTATCGATTGTGAGATCGATAGATGCGAAGAAGAATCGAATAAGCAATCTTGTTGTAAATAAATTAAGATAATTTCACTTCGGTTCGATTTATTATTATTCGTGATTTGCAGATTCTGATTGTTATTAACAATCGTTCGAATATCTGGGATGAAATCGGATGTGAACTTGTATATGAAATAAAATTTGCAATGTGTCATCAAAAGTGAACAACGAAGATAACGTTGTGATCGACGTTCGTCTTGAAGTAATAACGAAATTAAAGAGAGATTTTGAGATGAATGACATCCCGATCATCGATGGAGTTCGCGGCATTGAAATTATCGAGACGATTCATTGATACATTTTTATTATATGATACACAGGTAAAATCAAATATTTTAATTAGAATGATTTCGTGATTTCAGAGAATTTTTTTTTCAATCGAAGAAATATTTCAGACTCAAAGTCTATCAAAATGGTGAACCTTGGTATCAGGCTTTCGAAGAACTTTTGAAGAAAGAACTCAAATTCGACAATAAAGTCGAAGTTTAGTAAAGCTTAATCGAATAAAAAAAAATAAAACATAAGAATATTACCAATTGGTATTTCTCTTGCTGATGATATCGTGTTTAATAAAATACAAATTTAAATGTATGTATATGTATATATATAACGAATCTTATATTCAATTACCTTACAAAATGGCATCAAAAAGGACAAAAAATATGCAATTACAGACAATTTAAATGTATATATGTGTGTATAGAAGGAATTGAAATTATATCATGTATATCAAACAAAAGTTGAAGTAAAAAAAGTAGAAAATAAATTTCTCAAATCGATCTTTTTCAGAAATGAATTACTTAATCACGAATCTTCTTCGCTCACAACACTGGGGATATTATCATATACTTAAATGCAACGAGTATTCATATCAGCGTATCACTTTACGTATATTTAATAAACAATAAAAGATATTTAAGAATTTTGTTTATAATTATCCCGACGTTACAGAGAAACTTGGAAAGAGGCGTTAAAATTGGAAACGGAAACATTTGTGCCAATTATCAATTTGATGAATTTAATCCTCGACTGTTCGGAAAGTAATTTTTCCATTGTCATTTACACCCGTGGTCGAAGATTTATGAGAGATAGTCTTCCCATCCGGGCCGACCATGGTGTGCGAGCTCGAGCTGGAGAACACCCCGTAAGTGTTTCCAGATGGCGGAGGCACTTCCTCGCCAAACCTTGATTCCACGCCTGGTCTAACCTGAAGAGAAGAAAGCAAAAATTCAAGCAACGTTTTCGAATCGAAAATGTTAATAATCGACCAAATCCAAGATTTAAATTAAGATGAAAGTTTTATTACTTACTGGATTGATCGCGCCAGCTTGATAACCACCTTCCGGTCCCAAATTAATGCTGGACACAGCACTGTGTAAACCGGGTACAGAGCCCGGATCACCGGCTATGCGATTCGTTGCATCAAAGAGCCTTGAATAACAAGGTTTGAAAATTTTAATCTTCGATTAAAATTCCAATTTACCCCATTTACTTACGATTGTTGTTGCTTCTGGAATTGAGCTTGCAACTGTCTGAAATTTTCCTCCATTTGTTTCTGGAAATCGGCGAAGTTGTAATCGGGGAAAGCGAAAGAACTGGGATCGTACACGTCTGTAAGAAGATGAAGCGATAAATTAGAAAAAAGAAAAAATATTTATTTATCTATCTTTAACACTCGTGCAATATAATTATCCTATACGTATATAAATGTGCACGTGAAGCGGCAGTATTAAACAATTTCTCTAAACAACGCATCAGAATAAAATTTGCAACACGAAATGCAACACGATCGTATTTAAAGCTCGTCACGTTCGAAGAGTATCGAGTGCGATATTTAATCATTCAATAAACATCCATGTATATTAAAGCTAAAGTTTTGCACAGACATTATTAGTCTCTCGGTAAAAAAAAAAAA